ATTATTATTATATTATTAATATAATAATAATGATAATTTATAGTATTATTTGTTTTATTGTAATCAATGTAATGTAATTGATCAGTTTGTTTAGTTATGGCAATGCAACACTTGTTGTGTTGCCATAACTAAACAAACTGATCAATAAGGGAAACTGGTCAATAAGGGAAATTGATCAATAAGGGAAAATTTAAGGGAAACTGGCCTCTATTTAGGTGTTACAAATGTGGAGAAAACCCGGAAAACTCCACATGGCCAGACCATTTGAGCGAGGTGTGAATTCATAACTGAACTGTCAGTGTTCAGGGTAAGAAGACCACTTGGCCACTGGTGGGCCAATTGGTCAGTAATTAATCAATGTAAATATTTCTTTATTATGTTTTTCTATATAAGGTATAAAGTTTGTCATTCAACAGCATTTCATAAATAAATAAATTTCAACACTGATTTTGATGTTATTAAAAATGAATTTTAAACCCCAATTTAAAGATTCTTAATCTAACAAAAAATAGGGCCCCATTGGACTTCAATAAGCCCTAGGCCCCAAAAAAACTAGATCTGCCCCTTCCTAAAACAGTATTAAAAAGTATTGTCATCTGACTTAAGTATGTCCTCTAAGTTACAGTCTTCTATCTTAATTAGGAGGAGATGAAATTTGAGTTGCAAGTTTTGACTGGCCCTTTGCTGAATTTGAGTTTGAGATCCCTGCCTTAAAGTAAAGATTTTACATAAACATTTTATTTATGTATTTATTTAGAGTTGTTAATGTTATCCCTCAAGTTCTTAGTAAATAAAAATTAAAAATATATACATAATTAGTGATAATTAAAACTTTGTTTGCTAATATCTATTATTTTTACCATTTAAAAAATAAATTACACCAGATAAACATATAAGAATTAAAAACATGAATAAAAGAGATTTAAAAAACAACGATTAAGATTAAAAAATGGAAATGTGGATGCAAGTTATAGATATTAATGAAAAAATTATCAATAACCTTTATTGTAGACCTATAAATTCCCACTTTCATCCATCTGTCCTTAATCTTGAGAACAGATTTAGATAGATGACCAGCATGACTCAATTACTAAAGGAAAAATATGATGTACAGGGGCAAGATACTACTAATTTGTAAGTGGAGAGCATATATTTTAAATAAATTTAAAAAATATGATCAAAAATTGCAGCCTGGCATTTGTGATGACATTACCATAAATATTTGCTCATTTGTATATAAAATTTGTTTGCAGGTACTTTAAAAATAATATAATCTGTATACAATATTGATTCTATTAGTTTTGAGCTTTTGGCTATACAATAAAAGATTGATCAATGGGAAATGGATAAACAATAATATGGAGTATGTATACAAGCATCGTTATGGATTCTTCTATTGGGGACTCAGACTAAGCCAATAGTTATTTATAATACCATTGTAAAATTTAAAACAAAATAAGTGGCCAAAATATTCTACATGTTTTATTGGATCAGGTAATCCAAGCTGAATTCTTGCTGCAACAGGATTATTAGTATATGGTAGGTTACTAAGTTTATTTAGAAGAAAATAAACCTTTTGAATTTCTTTAATGACTTTATTTAAAAGGGATGAAGCTGTCATTGACCAGACTGGCAAACAGTAGTTACATATGGATTAGATATTTGTCAAATAAAGAGCTCTTAACACTGACCAAACTGATATATACCTAGAAAGCACCACAAAATTCCACGTTTGATTGACCAGGATTTTACTATCTTTTGAATGTGCTCCTGAAAAGTTAATTTGTCATCAAAAACAATCCAGATCACTATATGTTTAACTTGGTTTAAAATGCATAGTAATGGTGAAAAAAGGAATCATTTTAATTTATAAGTTTTTTAAGTTTTTGCTTCCAATTTTTCAGTTGTTTCTTCTTTCTTAACAAATAGAAATAAGCCATAAATCAAGAATGGTTATAGTTGGAATATATCACTTAAAGAAGAAATAATAATCTATAGGAAACTGTACTTTTTATTATGAATATGATAACTGCACTGAATAGATACTAATAGAAAAAATATGTAGTTTAGCAATCAGAAAAAAACAAGTTACCATATTACCACATAGTGAGTTTATTAATATGGTAATACAGTGGAACCCCGGTTAACGAACGTAATCCGTTCCACAAGTCCGTTCGTTAACTGAATTGTTCGTTAACCGAAGCAATTTTTCCCATATAAATTAATGCAAATGCAATTAATCCGTTCTAGCCGCCAGTATTTTTGTAATTTTATTTGTAAAATGGGTTTTCTTTAATGAAAATATAGGAAAACGTGCTCATAAACAGTCGATTTAGGTTAAATTTTCGGAAAAGGGAAAAGATTTGACTGGTATAAAAACATCACACACAATCGTTAAAGTTTTAAAATGACAGATAGCAGAAACAACAGGCTAAATTGTGAGCGAAAGGCTTATAGGTTTATCGACAATCTCTGATCAGAGTCGACGAATAGGTGTCAAATAAATGCCTCGGAACAAACCTTTCTCGTGACCTGATCTGGTTTCGGTTTTGGAGACAAAGAAGAAAACAATCGGGAAGCGAGGAATGGGACGCAGGACTAATCGTAAGGAGACAAAGAGGAAAAAATACTATAAAAACCCCCAAATCTCAAGGTCAAAACGCAGTTTTCCTAAAAATTCTATGGTGATTAATCTGTGTCGTCTTTATCTGGATTAAGCCTGAAGTCTTGCCTGCTAAAATTTGTGTTGTGTCTCGCGGACCGCTCCAGTCGTTGCAGCTCTGTCACCTACCGTCGCTTCTGTGACCAAGCGAACCCATCTCTTCCGCTCTGGGGCTACGACTGATCAGCTTGCACTATCGTAGGACCAGCGACATGCCACTCCTCAGTGCCGAGAGAAAATACTGTAGATAAGCCATTTCCAACTACCTCAAATATATAAGCATCTTCCGTTCTAAATAAACGATTTTCACTGTAAAATACTTGTCATCTTTGTCTCCTCCGCCACCACCAACGTACGAATGGGCCCTAGACCATCACCGACACACGATTAACTGATTTTCCCTAAAAGTCGGCAAGCTTACAAATTTGACACAAAAACCCGTTAAGTTCGTTATCCGAATTTTGTTCGTTATCCAAGACAAAATTTTTGCAAAATAATAGTTCGTTAACCGATTTGGTCGTTAACCAGGACGTTCGTTAACCGGGGTTTCACTGTATGATAGTTTGCATTTATTTTTATACACTTTATTAATTAATAATCACTTACCACATTAAAAACACGCCTCGTAACGTGAGATCTTTAAAGTACCATTTTAAAATAGGGTGGTTGATGTTCTGCTAATGTACCTACATCTGTTGGCTAACCACAGACACAATTACAGAAGCATTCATTTGTTTTACATTCATTTGTGTGTGTTTAAAATGCCTCAGACAATTCAAAATCCTGCTGACTCATTTTCTTAATGCAAAAGACGTGAAAGTGGCTGACATTCATTGGAAAATTAGTGAGGTATATGGAAAAAATGTTATGAGCGATGGAATGGTAAGAAAATGGGTTAGAGCATTTAAAAATGGCTGTACTAATGTCCATGACAAGTGGCATAGTGAGAAATTGTTTGTCATTACCAAAGACTTGGTGCAGAAAGTTGATGCAAAAGTTTGAGAAAACAAACGCTTTACGATTTTGTCATCCAAAAGAAAAGGCGTGGCAAGTTCAGTAAGGAGATTGTTTTGCTTCATGATAATGCCTGTCCACATGTGGCTCAACGAACCCGAGACTTTATCACATCATATGGCTGGGAACAACTTGATCACCTTCTGCTTAGCCCTGATCTAGCGTTTAGTGACTACTACTTGTTCCTCCACTTGAAAAAACATCTAGGCAGTCAGCACTATGACGATGTCAAAACGGCTGTACTGCAGTGGTTGGCAAATTAGGCAGCAGGTTTCTTTGAGGATGGAATTCTGAAGCTAGTTGTACGATATAATAAGTGACTTAATATTAGAGGAAACTACGTTGAAAAGTAGATTAAGGTACAGGCTTTCTTGTAAGAAAAAAATTGTTAAAAAAATCTACACTTATGTTTTTTTAATATCAAAACAGTACTTACTTAAAAAACACATTTTGTATTTTATGTAATTTTCTGTTTGTATAATTTTTAACATAATCTGATGGACATAATTTAATTTTAAATTTTTATTTAAAAATAAAATAGCTTACCTTCTCTGTTCTAATGGTATCATTTCTCTTCGTACTTTGTAATCTGCCAAGCTGGATATAAAATTTTCTGACAAAATAAAGTTCATACATTTATCTGTTACTTCTTTATGTATATTTGTTACATTTTCACTAAATTCGTTTATATTTCCAAGATTGTCTACTGCTACATCATTAGCTGCTAATACAATACTGTCATTCAAACAGTCAGCAACTGGTTTCAAATGTGCCAAACAAGCTATATCAGTCATTAATTTTAATTCTATTCTTGCTTCTTCATCTGCTAATGTGGTAATTGTATCAGCAAGAACATAATTTCGATATCTTTCCATAGCTTCTTCTTCTACCATTTGTACCTGTTATCAATCAAATACTAAAATTATTTCAAATCTTTAAGCTATCTTGATATATTATTTTAACAAATGTTTTATATATATACAGTATGTATGTATGTACGTGTATATATATATATATAAAATACCATAAATTTTATTTAAAGAATTTATTCTAGATAATGTGATTTTTCAAGATTGCCATAATAAAAAATAAATTAAAAAATTAATTTCCTATGCATAATCTGTAAAAATTGTCAGGATGCATTGTCTTCACCTGATTTCAAACTGACTTTAAAATCACAGATAATCCTTGGGTTATGCAGGAAATTACTTTACAAAATTTATTTGCCATAAGTTTTTTTAATATATTTTTCACAATAATAAATAATTGAAAATGAATTAATAATGATGAATGAAAATGCAAAAGTGACCTTTCCATATTTTTTTTTTCGCATTGGAATTTTTAAACATCTATCCTTCAATTTTAAATGTACAATGTTTTATAGTTAAATGTAATAGATTAATAATGATAATAATAATGATGTATACTTTAAACTGAAACATTTAAATTGTTTTTTTATACATAAATATGTAAGAATTACACAACATATAACTGTTTAAACAATTTTAAACAATCATTATATTAAAAACTACTTTTCTGTTTTTCACAGAAAGCTTGCAGGAAGGTTAAAAGTCTACACAGCTCATTGTCTATGTTTGTTTGGCCTTCCTTGAATTTTTGAACCCACTTGCATAAGCTTTTTATAATGACATGCACAACTCTCCACATTGTGCATACATCCTGTGATGGATCTTACTAGGTCTAATGCCTTCAGCTGTCAAAAATCATCTTGCTGTTTGATTTTGGTGCAGTTTGACATGGGCAATGCCATTTTGTAAACCGTGTAGTAGACACAATGCCACCTGGCAGGAACAACTGTTGGTGTAGGGCTGCATTACTGTATTCTTTCAATTTTATTAGTCTCAATCTTGTATACTATGTTATTTTTCTTTAGCAGTGCTATTGAACTTGTCTCATATATACAGGGTGTCCACTTAAATATCTGTCCAGGAGCAAAAAAAGTGCTATTTAAAAAAGTGCCATAATGGTGATAATTCGTTCAGTAAGATAAACAAATCATTCAGCAAAGGGACATGACAATTGTATGGTAATTCAATGGCAATATGTAAATTTTTTAAACATCAGATCAAGATGCAAATTGTGAGATCCACGAGTTTTGGGGGTTGTTTTAACCCATTTTACTAAAAAAAAATTCTATGTAAACATCCGCCAATAGAAAAACTATCAAATAGTTTTGGATTAGATGTCACCCTGATTGTCAGCAATCAGATGGGAAAGTTGACACACAAGTGTCAGAAAATGCACTGCCATCGTCAACACAGGTGATCACGTGACCTCTTTCCCACGACAAGTGAATAAAAGCTCGAGCCCTGGAAGTTTAGGGCAATTGAATTGGAAGTTATACTTGGTAACTGTGCGCAATCCGTCTTCTGGACCTCCATACAACGGACCTGATCCAACAAGAGAACAAGACACCGGTTGAAGACAGATCACAGCTTCGGACTTCCATACAGTTCGCCATATCGACAAAGACTACAATTCCTATGAAATTATCGACGCATACTGTTCGTTTCCTCATAGAGGTATTTTTGTTAGCGATTTGTGAACTCTCTCCCCTGCAACAGGAATAGGCTTAGCTAAGAGCTGCCATTTTGTATATATTTAGTATTTAATCGCATCTAACCTCCTGTATGTTAACCTTAGATCTTAATAAATGCTTTGTTTAATTGTTAAACCTGTCTCCTGTCTATCCAAGGACTCCTGTCAACTTGCTCGCCACTCGATAGAAAGCCATCAAAACGACAAAGTGGATGAGTTTTACCAACTCGACGTGTAAATGGCAATTATGGTACTGACCCTGTGCCCTCGTAATCTCACACAAATCAAAACAGCAATCTTGGCATATGTTGAAACACAATGCCAATGTCTCTTTAAGAACTAACATGATTCAGCCTGCTAGGTGATAGTGTACCGAAGCAAGGCCTTATATTTGAGAACAATTCTCCACCAAAATAAAGTTCACTTTTTTTTGTATCAATTTCTGCAATGTTGTCTTTATCTTTTCAGTCAGAGATTATTTGTATGCTATTCTAAATCATCTTAAATTGATTCCCTTTGGTTATTTTAGCACTGGAACAAGTATACACAACATGCATATACTAATTTAATGCTGGACAGACGTTTAAGTGGACACCCTTTATATCATAAAATATATTTATTCAAACAATTTTAAAAATGGAAATTTTTTAAGTTAATTTTAAATATTTAAATTCTTAGTTTTCTTAGAGTATCCTAACCTGTATAGAAACAAAACAGTGCATTTTATTTGTATAATTACTTTATAATTGGCTTTATAAATATTTATTTAATATATAATTAAATATCTTTTTAATTCGCTTTATAAATATTTAAATATGCATTAATTATATTGATGATAATATTCCATATTTTTTATTTATTATAATTTGATATAAAGATTCATACTGCATTGTTATAAAACAGTCCATCTAATAGAATGGTTAAAGGACTGTCTTGAAACTGAATGAAATTTGAATTCAAGGAAAATATGCTGCTTGTTTAAAGACGCCTAAAAATTAAAATTTATTCCAGAAATATTTTCAGCTTGCAGTTTGGCCAGTTATAATTAGCTGATGCTGACCAAACTGTAGACCAAAAAATTTCTTGAATAAATTCTAATTTTATTTGTTTTATTAAAGTTTTATTAAACAAGCAGCAAATTTACTTTGAAATGACTTTAATAAAATCATTATTAAAGTGGTTCTTTAAGAATTTTGTTATAACAAAATTAGAATAAATATTTAGAAATAGATAAATAATTTTATCAAGAAGCTAGAATAAATATTACTTTCTTTTCAAAATGATAAGTATAAATAAATGAAATGTTCATGAATAAATGAAATCACTTTCCATTATGTTTTATATAATAAAACATAATGGAAAGTGATTTTTAACTCTAGAATTTATGTAAAAATTAATAATTACATATATATTAATATATTTCAACTCACATCTCTAACAATTTGGTCTTCCAATTCACGAAATTGTGTTTCAGTATGCCTTCTCCACATTTCTTCGGCCTCTCTTAATTCTCTCTGTTGTTTGGCACAAGCAGCAATGAGACAAACAAATTCTTCTTGTTGTAACCGTTGATGCTCTTTACTTAACAGACCCAACATAGAAGAAACAACATTTCCTTCCCATTCATCAATAATTTCATTCATAATCTGTTCCTATAAATTTTAATATAAATTCTTCATTTTTTAAGAACAAGAAAATTTTTTAAATTTAAAAAATTATATTATGAAAATATATTTTTGAAAAAGCAAATTTTAAAAAATAAATTTATATATTCCTTCAAAAATCTGAATTTAGATATATTTTCACATTCAATAATAATATAATAATGCATTTTAACTAAATAATCCTATATTTATAGGTATAGTATTTCATTCTGCAAGTAAAATATCCAAAGGTTAAAACATACAATTTATTCAATTCTTTATTCTATGTATGCATGTTGGGTCGACGTGAACTCTCAATCCCTCCTCAGTGGGATATGTACAAATTATATAGCACTGAAAAGGATATTTTACTTGCTTAATGAAATATACCTATAAATATAGGATTATTTAGTTAAAACACATAAGAATACAGTAAACCTATAATTAAGAAATAATATAATAAAATATAAAAGTTTTAAATAGCATAAATAAAAACTTTTACAAAGTAATAAATTATTTAAACTGATTCAAAATTTAGTTGATATTTTATATGAATTACATAAAGCCATTTTTGATTTACAGTAGTATATTAAACAGAAGTTAAATAACTTAGATTTTCTGCCAATTTCATAAATACTTCAGAATTTTTCATAAACATGAGAATCAATTAAAATGGATAACTGAAGAATGCAACAAACAAAAATAACATCATCTAAAATGCATTATTTTAAATACTTTCAAATTAAAAGTATATTTTTCATTAAATAAAAAAATATTGTACAGTATGACTCTGATTTATGAGAATTTGATACAATAAGCTGCTTTGTTTTATCCCTCTTTCCCATTTATGAGACAAAATGTTTGATGCACTTGCTGGCATTTATATTAGAACAAAATATTTTAATCACAAGTGCAATGAGATTGCAATCTCTGCACACTCAAATTAGAAACCTCATAGGTTGCAGTCTCCATTTTTTATTTCATTCACACTGTATTTTTTGTTAGGGATAGTGCCATTCATTCTAATTAATTATTGGATGATTAGACTGATATTTTTTACTTCTGTTAAATATATCAGAACAATTTTCCTATATTCAAAATTCCAATAATTAATAAATTAATAACATGTCTCTCTTAGCATTTTAAGTTTCTTGACAAATTATTTTTAATTCCATAATAAAGTTTTCAACTGGAAATCTGAAAGTTTTATTATTTTGAATAATAAACAATCTTTTGTTGTATTCAGCTTCATCAGTTGAATTTCATGAGTTCTAAAATTTTATAATTCTGTTTGTAATATTTCATCTACTTCTGGAATAATTTGTACTGAACAAAACATGTAAAAACATTAGTAATGACACTATATAACTTATTTGATGTGTCAATTTTTTTATGTAATGATATTTAATATAAAAAATATAATTCTAATTAAAATTAGATTTAATTATAAAAATACTTCATAATTGACTAATCTCTCATTTTCTTAGGAGAATTTATGAAATAAAACAACAGAGGTGTATATTACATTTAGTTTATTTTGATACTCATTAAATATAAATTTAATGAGTATCAAAATTTGGTTTTAATTATTTTCTATTAGTAAATGACTAATAAACAAAGCAATCTTTGTCAAAATGCACAGAACAAATTTGTGTGTTACTTTTAGGTTTAAAATCTTTTATTTTTATTAACTGTTCCTTCATTAAAGTGGGTTATTGTGAGGAAATTACGGAATGATATTCCTTTATCTATATATTCCTTCTTTGTATTATCATTTGTACTGTACATCCAAATGCACAACATGACATAGGTATTTTCATTTGTTATTCAGCTTGTTTTGAATGAAGTGAATAACTAACAGTGGATAACAACTAGTGATGGCATGATACCAGAATTTCTCCTGATTCTGATTCAATTCCAATTCTGCCAAAAAGTCCCAATCTTAATTATTTTGAATACTTTCTAAAGTTTATTTTAGAAAAGAAAAATTAATGATTTACATTATGAGCACAATACACTCATTAATTAATAAACATCAAGCTTAAAAATGGAAAATGACTGGGAAATCCAGAATCAATCTTTTGAAAGAAACCTGAAAATTCTCCATTTATATGTGGATATACATGCTTTTATTGTGTACTACAAAATTTATAATGTTATTTCAGATAAAGTTAATATTGCAACACTACCCTCAAAGAAATTACAGCTAATTCCCTTTTATTCAAAGAAATATCCTATCATGTCATCTATGGTCATCATCTTTGGAAATTGCTTTGTTGGCTGACACAATCACCAGGGGAGAGAGAAGGTAAATGAGAAGATGCACTTCTTTTTTTCATGCTTCTTGCAATTGGCATGCCTTGTAAATGCTTTAATTCTATCACTAAATGAGGTTCGGCAAATGATGCAAAGAACTGAACAAATGTCATCATCATCACAAGTTAACCAAGTTTTGAATTTATTCACTTGAGAGACGAATGTATAGAATGACTCATCTTAAAAAAAAGCAATTTTTAAAACTCAACACAACAGTAAACTTGGCATAAACAAGTATTTTTACTTAAAATCACGCAAATTGCATTTGAAAATTTAACACATTACAGCTACAATCTACAAATCATAATGAGAAAGTTATTATAAGTAAACATACTAAATATTAAAAATAATTTTGTATTTTGATATAAAAAAAAAATTATATATTTTTTTCAATTTTAAACTGTTTTGCAGACTACCAGGCTTGATTTGAAACTTTGTATCCCGATAGTTCAATCACTGTTAACTCATAATTAAAATTTGAAAAAAATTTTAAACTCAGGCAAATTTATAAAACAAAAATTAACCAAATTACTAAAAAAATTAAAATAAATTTTAATTTAATTATCTTTTGTGCAAAACAACAAAAACAATTTCTTTAGTTATATCACAAAAGAAAAAAGAGAGTTGCAATTAATTAAAAAAATTGTAATTGAAAGATTCAAAAAATGCAGGCAAAATTAATGCAAAATTAAATAAAAATTATTAAAAATAATTATAAAAACTAAAACTAAATTAATACTAAATAAATTAAACCTAAAAATTAATGAGCAATTATTGCAGTCTGGCATGTGACAATGTCGGGCTGCAATTTTTAATCATATTTTTAATTTATTTATTTTAAAATATATGCTCTCCACTTCAAATTAATAGTGGCTTGTCCCTGTATATCATACTTTTCCTTTAACAATAAAGTCATGCCAGTCATCTAACTCCTTTCATGGGAAAATTTTTGAATTAAAATAACATGACTTCTGGTTTGCATTGGAAGTTCACGTACAGTTAATCAGGACTTCCCTTCTTGTCCCTAAGCTTTCCATATCTGTTCTCAGATTTTGTCTATCTAACTCAGTACTTAAGATTAAAGGACAGACAACAGTGGGAATTTATAGGTGTACAATTTTTTCAAATTGCAGTCCAATTAAAACAAAATAAAATAATAATTTAAATTCTGGCCTTTACATTGAAATGGAAATCATAATTAAAAACAAATATCAAAATTAATTAAAATTAAAACAATGTTTTTAAAAACCATCTAAAAGTTCTTTTAAAATTTTCAAATTGTAAATCAAATTTATTTTAAAATTTACATTATTTGTGTTTAGTGGTGACAAAACATTTTGCTTTTAATATATTATAAATACAGATACAGAATACAGATAGCCGTTCAAGCCAGCTCAATACCAAGCAGACGACAACCCTAATGCCACCCTATCTCCCCTAAAATGGGAACAGTTACTACTAACAAGTAAGTGCAATCGCTCATCACTCTGATTACATGAAAGAAAAGTCTGCAGTGACAGACATCACCTTGTTATGGAATGTCACATGCTCTCTGTTTTGTCAACTTTTAAGTTTCCAATGAACTAATACTTAATTTTTAATGTTTGACTGAAAGAAATAATTACTTTTCTTATTAAATATAGAAGAATTGTTTTAAGAATTGGAAATTGTGATGAGATTTGCTCAATTTCAATTCCTGGAAAATGCCCAATTTTTCCAATTCCGATTAATCATCCCTTCACTAATAGCAACCACTATGTTGACCATAAGCCACTTTATCAAGTGAACCTTTTCTTCACATGAATAGACCTCATTGATCATATTTTAATTGGAACACATTTTTGTTGAATTAAATTTTAAAATCAGCTCTTAAAACTTAAATGAATAATTATAATTTTGACTTAACAAAATGTTTCAATTAAATTATTATTTTTCCATTGAATTAATGCTTCTTATATCTTCTCATTAACTCTTAATTATAATAAAGACTATTTTAAGCCACATCTATAGTGGATATGTTTTTAAACTTATATAGAATTTCAATTTCTATTTAACTATAATCTAAGTAGGTACAAAATTAAATTCCAATCCATATTTAAAAATTTGAAAATGCAAGTGCAATTCAATCCCACACAGGGCCATGCTGAAAGATGAGGCAAAGGAAACTGCCTTAATCATCAAATTAGAAGGAATACTAAAAAAGTATCATAATGTAAAGTTCATAATATTTATAGAAATATAAGTGCATTGACACACTGTTCTTAGATTTATCTCAGATGCCAAAATTGTTCAGAACAGTCTTGATCCCAGATCTCTGGGATATAAATGATCATATGATAATATGATCATCAGATTAGAGATTAATTTATCATGAGTCAATTTATCTCTTCTAACATTTATTGAAAAATAGATAAAATTTTTTAAATGAACAAACAATTTATGATCTACTTTTTGGAAAATATTTTTAATTTCACAAAATATTTCCAATCTGAAAGAAAATTTTACATATTAAAATTTGTTTTTTTATATATTTTTTGTTTGTTTACTACTTATTTACTAAATTCTCTTTATTGAAAATTGTAGAAAAAAAAATATTTAAAATGGCAAAATAATATTATTATAAATTCTGTCTTTCAATTTTAAGAAGTATTTATTAAATACAAAAATCATTTCAAGATTTCCACAATATTGTTGAGTTTCCTGTAGATCGAAATCCACGGAGACAATAATAATATATATAAAGGACTCAATGACAAACACATGCACGAAAATAAAACAAAAAAAGTTTATTTTACCAGTACCATAACCGTGATTCCTACTACTTGAGTTTACATGATATACAATTCCTACCACTCGAGTTTACACTATATATGTATTGTCAACTTAAAACTAATAGTTATGTACAAAACTTGGAAGAAAATTACATTACAAAACGTATGTCCCTTGTTGTTATCTCTAAATTTCCTTAAGATGGAAACGGATTGGATCTTGAACTGGAAATGGTCTTCCTTTCTCACTCCTATTCTCACGGCCTGGCCTCGAACCTTCGTATTATCCTCAACGGATCCAAAAACCAGAATCCCCTCAATTGTGAGAGTTCACTAATTTATACCTCCTGCTATCCGGAAGTCCGCTTTACTCACATGCCCACCTTGGACCAATCGGAAGGCTTTTCCCATGGTACCTAAGAGGTGACATCATAACACAAAAATACACGCAACATTGTATAAATTAAGAAAACCCAATACATACAAAAAGGAACCTGAGACAAAAAATATATTATAATAATACATAGTTGCATAGCGCTACAATATCATTATAAAATATCAATATTAAATTTTGAATTGCTAAATTAACATAAATTATTAACATAAAACTTTTCAGAAAGACTTTATTTAAGTAGTAAACTCTAAAACATATAGAATGTTCTTTTGTTAAAATTTTACTTTAATACATGCTTATCATGCAAAGATATTTTTTCTTTCATAAGATACTACCTGATTTTGATGGGGCCACCAGATTCCTTAAAACGCAAGGATAATCATTTTGTCCATATATTTCTCTATATGCAATTAACATAATAACTATTATATAAAATACATTTTATGTATAATTATTATTATTAATACAATAATTATAATAATAAAGTTTAGCAATTAGTTTCTGCAAATGTGTCCAATAAATATATATAAGTGTAAAATATCAATACTTTTTTAATCAAAATTTAATTAAAATATTAATTATGTACCAATAGTGACTATTTCTATGTTCATGAATTTGCACATAAAATACCTTTACAAAAATTCCACTATTTAGACTAGTATCATTGCTATCCATAAAACTTATCTCATTCCACATTAAGTCGAGTTTGCAAGACTCTACTGTATTTATATATTTAATGATAAGTACAGAACTTGATAATGCCAAAATATTTATGTAGACACAAAACATAATTAAAGAAAAGTTTAAGTTGTCAAATGCTTTTGTTTTTCATCATTATAATATTTTAGAATTTTACAGTAAAATATTCATAAGTTAATTCAAATTCATGGAAATAAAATATAATTTTTTTGGAATAAATTTATGTTTTAATATATAATTAAAAATAATCTAAAGCAAACTTAATGATCTTTTTAATTAGTTGCAGAATATAAATTGTATTTTATATATAATGTANTATTTCATTATATATTATATAAAATATAAATAAGGTAAATAACAAAGAGAATATTTTCATTGAAAAATTTTCTTTAAAACAACTGTACTCAATATGAAAATGAACTTATCATTCAAATTATTTATAATAAAATTTTGGATTCTATTACCTTCTTATTTCTATATTCTTTATCTATAATTAATTTATTTCGTACTTCTAACTTTTTGTCTATTGCTTCCTTCTCTTCTATAGATATGGCATGCAAGCCATGGTATTCCTCTATGAGATCTTTATATCTTTCTTTTTCTAATAGCATCTGCAAAATAAATATTTTTTTATTTAACATTTAGATGATAGTATTTAAATAAATTTTAACCTCCTTACCAACTTTAAAATATCACAACTTTTGCATCATATAGTTGTGAAATTTTCTAATACACATTTTTAGGCATACAAATAATCTATTATTGTTTACTAAAAGAATTTATTATTATTATTAGGACAAAAAAATGAAACTTCTCTGACCTCATTTCTGTTTTATAAATACTAAATTTTTTAAAACAATTTAAGTTTTACTTTATACAAGGTGTCCCAAAAGTCTGGATACACATAATGTAATGTCTCTATGGATGAGCAATTATTTATTGAGACATTAACAATGCCAGCCTGCAATTTTTAATCATATTTTTAATTTATTTAATTTAAAATATATGCTCTCCATCTCAAATTAATAGTGCCTTGCCCCTTTACATCATACTTTCCTGATAACAACAGTCATACCAATCATCTATTAACTCCATTCAGGGAAATTTTTCAACTGAACCACATGATTTCTGGTGAAAACCAGAAGTTTGTTTGTTAAGTTATGGCAACGCTTGGGCGATCTGCCTATGGTGGATGCCTTCTGGGAGGTCTTTTTTAAGGGAAACTGGCCCCTAGGAAAATAGGTGTTACAAACATGGAGAAACCCCGAAAAACTCCATGTGGCCAGCCCATCTGAGCGAGGCGCAAACCCACGACCAAACTCCCAGTGTTCAGGGTATGAAAAACACTTGGCCACTGGTAGGCACAATAGAAGTTTGTACATAGTTAATTAGGGTCTCCTGCCCCTAAGTTTTCCATATCTGGTCTTGTCTTTCATCTATCTAACTTTGTTCTTGAGAAGAATGGACAGACACAACAGTGGGAATTTATAGGTCTACAATTTTTTCATATTGCAGACCAAAGTAAACAATGGAATTATATATTATGATGCATGCCAAATCCAATGGTGACCATAAAGTTAACCTTGAAGGGTATTTTCAAAGTCATTCAAAAAATGAATCAAACCAAAAATGTCAATTAGAAAATTGTAGGCCATATAAAAATTAGTAATAATCTGCTTTTGTTTGATACATAAACATGAAAATAAAATGAAAAACAAATCCAAAAACTCAAAAAATTTTGTTTATGCAGTGAAGCACCAGCATCAACGTTCCAACTCAGACAAAACAACAAACAAAAAGAAATTCACAAACAGAATCACTATACATCTTTAACTACCTACAACTGGCATTTTTAGAATTTGTAAAAAAAACAAACATGTGCTAAAATTGACAACGATTTCTAAATAGTTCTTTCAGAGTTATTAAACAGAAAGGAAAATAATCAGAATCTTAGCTTTTAAAATGCAAACTAAAGTAGGAGTGTCTGATAATATCAATTAAAGCACAATACATACAAAACAAACAGAAGAGAACTAAAGAAAGTGCATATGATTTCCAAAACTACTTAAAAGTATAACTATAGATAAATATGTCTGCAATGCACAAAGGATTTTTCATGTTTTTTAAAAATACTGTTCATAAGCTTAGACAAAGAAAAAGTTGTTGGAAGAATTTATAATTTCAAGTTAAAATCAGCAGATAATCTGCATCATTGCATAATTTGCATCTGCTTTCAAATTGACTTTTAAAAACAACTCACAAGCTAAAATTATGGTAATTATTACTTTAAATTCATAAATTTTTATATAAAATAAAAAAAATCTATATTAAAAAATAAGCTTTTAAAAATCTTTATCTAACAAACCTTTCTTTGAGATGATCTTCCACGCAGAGCTTTTTGCATAATTATAGTTGCATGATGTTGTTCTGTAACATCTGATAATACAGTTGGCTGATCCATAGAAAATGTAGGTTCTTCTTGTATGCCTAACTTTTTCGAATGCGTACGTTTTATATGGCTTTCTAAATTTAAAAACAAAATTAATAATGTTTATGTCATTTCATTACAGACCAAATTAAAAATAACATTTGTTTTAAAATAATTTATAAATTTTACTTATAACAAAAACATATGACTATATAATATCAAAATTTTATCTAAACAATAAACATAACTTTCTTAGTTAAAAGCAAAAATAGTTGTTCCAATGTACGAGAAAAATAGTTTTATAAAAATTCTTCCAATACAAATTAATGCATCTTAAAAACCCTAAACTATTTATCAATTTAGTATTGTTTGTACCTTAGCTATTAATAATTAAATATATACAGTGGTACCTCGGGATACAAAATTAATCTGTTCCGAAACTGAGATCGTATCATGAAAATGTCGTAAGGTGAATAATTTTTCCCCATATGATTACATGTAAAACCAAATAATTCGTTCCAACANCAGTATCGACTTTAATTCAAAATTGCTTTTTGAAATGATCATTTCATTCTTGATTGAAATTTTTTGATTATATAATGATCGATTTTAGCTACATATATCTTTAGTTTGTAAGTACCTTTCCTAATAATAACAAAAAGCTTATTTAAAGGAATGTACACCCTGATCAAATTGATAAACTAAAGTGATTGATTGGAATAGGGATAATATTGTATAGAATAGTCTAGATATAAGACCTAGTGTAGTATTAAGAGAGAGAGAGACATTAATAGAGATATGTATTTGTTAAACATACTACCTTTAAAATGAACAATACTTTGGTGAAAGGGAACTTTGCCCCAAAATGGATTTAAATGACCCTGGAGTCATACAACCTTTAGTGAACTCAACCACCTGAACATTTGTGGTTATGTTAAATGAAATTTCAGCAGAAAAGAAGTGTGTCAACATACAGGAAGAAGATACATTATATCATTTTGAACTGCACAGTGAACTTTGAACTGTTAGCAGGTGCTTTTTGAAACAAGAAGACATCACATGATCTTCTAATATACCTGAATTTGTGCAACTATAAGAAGTCAGCCAACAGAGGTGCTGCCATAGAGACTCTCAGCAACAGAGAGGTGCATTCGAAACCAGTGACAGAACTATGTCCACTTTTACCGTCAATTCCAGACGAAGACACCTGTGTTCATTGTGTTTATTTTAGTAATATTATTAATCTGATGAATTGTTTACTATATTATTTCCATGTATTTCAATTTTGAATTTAATTTGAATTATTGTATACTTTTATGATTTTATTATTATGTATAACGCAATTTTTAGAGAGAGAGAGAGAAATTTCGAACTTATATATTGCAGTGAAAAATCACGCCTTCTTTAAATGTAGTGTGATTTTTGAAGATAAGGGAGTAATGTGAGATCCGAAAGGCCCTGGGTCTAATTTGTGAATTTTTATTTAATATGTTTAAATATCGACACAAAATATTACTT